AATTCTCTATATATGAATTACCCGTCTATAACACACCCCAGTAACATCGTCTTTTACTAGTATCGGTTACAGTACGGTTAGCATAGGTCAAAGCACAATTTAAGGTCACAATACAATTATTAGTGGTTAAGGTGTTAAACATGCAATAGACGACAATGATTAGTACTTATATACAGTGTCAGTAAATATACAGGGTTATGGTACCGTGCACTATGATACAGCAACACACTATTAACACTCTCGCTAGACGGCTGAGCTCGCGCTATCTAACAAGATATACACTTTACTAACAATCTTTAACACATTTACAATCCCAACTAAACTATTGGCCAGTACCTTGAATGGACTACCTAAAACTATATACACCCGTTTTGGTTAGCCACACTGCCCAAACACCACATATAGCGAACTAGAGGGCGAAATTTACAAAATTGCCCTTCTAGTCTATTTACTCTATCAAAAGTCTAGTGGGTTCCAAATTTACACGCCTTCCCACTTAGCCAAGATAGGTTGAGAGCTAGCGAACCGAATTTACACAGGCGCCGCTTAGTCTCCCGGTCCCTCCGACCTAGCGAACGTAATATACACCCTAGAACGCTAGTCTAGACAAGACACCGGTGTCCGGCTAGGGCTATTTACACAGGACCCCGCCTGACTAACCAGATCAAACGGTCTTACTAAAGAGCGTTCGATCGAGCGGTGCGCCTTCGCTCCTTCCCTCCGACAGAGGGGGCAGATTCCATACACAGATTTAAACCCCTTTTGGGCCTACCGCACAATCGGTATACCCCTAGTGGGTCTGCCGTCTAAAACAGCAGTTGTCTTACCTCCTCGTTCCTGAACCTGAGTTCACACTCATCGACGGGGACACCCCAGCACTTCTTACGTAGAGGCCGATGATCTCCTGGACAACAGACCAGTGGCGCCGAGACGAAGGGAGGTCCACGCAGAAGTTCAGGGGTGCAGCCGTAGAGAACGTGGGCAAAGATAGACCGTCTCACGCCTCTGCCTCTCAGCTACCGTTGAACGATGAGCTTCCCGGCCAATGCACCAAATGATACCGGAGAAACTGACGGAAGCAAAGCACAGAGGGATGGACACAGGTTTCTTCAGGAAGGAAGAGATTCTTTATTGGATCACCGATCGGGACTCAGAGGGACTAATGTCACCAAAAATACAGCAAGTTCTGAGCCCTGAACAATAGTGCAGGCTCCCTATATAGGCACATAACTCCTCCCATATTAAGCTCCACCCGCACATTCTCTTGACCAATCATTACAAATAAGAATTAACTTCCTGCTTGACCGCATGGCTTGTCCAGCACAATGGAGGAGGGGAATACTACATCCTGTATTCTTGCACATGCTCCGTACACTACTGATCGTATCTTGCCTCGTGCAACCAACTGATCGATACATCAGCATATGCACGTACACATGCCACGTGGTAAACTCGGCCTACTAAATTTATTTTTACCGAGATTCCACCACAGTATATATGAACCTGTAACTTTTAAAAACCCCATAAAACCTATACATGGGGGGTACCGTGGCACTTGTGAGACATCACTGAACAGAACTAGGAGGGTTTCAGGGCAGTATACTATATACTGACGTTAATATTATCAGTAAAAGTACAGTTTTTATGTGAAAAACGCAAAAAAAAACCCGGAACACTAACTTTGGCTAGCATTTGTGCCCAAGTGGCTACTACAAAAGACTGGCCATACCCCATTTTGAATACCCTGGGATGTCTACTTTTTCAAATGGTATGCCATTAAGGGGTAATTTTCATTTCTTGGCTGCCATAGGGTCTCAAAGGCAGCCTAGACACAGCAAACCAATCTGACAAATTTCATTGTGAAAAAGCATAAATGGATAACCCGTATATATGACCCTGTAACTTTCAAAAACCGCCTAAAACCTATACATAGGGCATACCGTGCCGCTTGTGAGACATCACTGAACAGAACTAGGAGTGTTTCAGGGCAGTAAACTATATACTGACAATAATATTATCAGAAAAAGTACCGTTTTTATTTAAAAAAATGAAAGAAAAAAAAACGAACACTAGGTTTGGCTAGCGTTTATGCCCAAGTGGCTACTACAAAAGACTGGGCATACCCCATTTTGAATACCTTGGGATGTCTACTTTTTCAAATGGTATGCCATGATGGCGTAACTTACATTTCTTGGCTGCCATACGGTCTCAAAGGCAACCTATGCCCAGCAAAACAATCTGTGAAATTTCTTTGTAAAAAATAGACAAGACGTATATTTGAGCCTGTAACTTTCAAAAACACCATAAAACCTATACATGGGGGGTACTGTTTTATTCATGAGACATTTCTGAATACAAATATGTATGTTTTATTGCAGTAAAACCAAACAGTATTGTGACCTTATCAGTTAACCCCTTAAGGACGCAGCCAAATATACACGTTGTGAACGAAACACAATGTGAACAAAACCTGGCATTTGTGCTACATGTCTGTCCAACCGTAATTCACCTCTTTCATATTAAATGCACCCACCCTTATCATATATCATTTTATTCAGGGGAAACAGGGCTTTCATTTAATATCAAATATTTAGCTATGAAACATAATTTAATATGAAAAAAATAGGAGAAAATAAGATTTGTTTTGATTTTTTTATTTCTTCATGACATTTTAACTGTCAATGTCATAATACGGTTTGTTTTTACTGCAATAAAATACACATATTTCTATTCAGCAAAGTCTCACATGTAAAACAGTGCCCCCTATGTACAAGTTTTATGGCGTTTTGGGAAGTTACAGGGTCAAATATAGCACGTTACATTTGAAATTGAAATTCGCCAGATTGATTACGTTGCGTTTGGGACTTTATAGTAGCCCAGGAATGAAATTTACACCCACAATGGCATACCATTTGCAATAGTAGACAACCCAAGGTATTACAAATTGGGTATGTCCAGTCTTTTTTAGTAGCCATTTGGTCACAAACACTGGCCAAACTAGCGTTAGTATTTGTTTGTGTGAAAAATGAAAAAAATGCCAATTTTGGCCAGTGTTTGTGTATAAAAAAGACTGGACATACCCCGTTTACAATACCTTGGGTTGTCTACTATTGCAAATGGTATGCCATCATAGGGGTAATTTTCATTCTTGGGCTACCATAGGGTCTCAAAGGCACCGTAACCAATCTGCCGAATTTTAATGTGAAAAAAATGATACGCAAGCCTTATATTTAATGCTGTAACTTTTGAAAACACCATAAAACCTGTACATGAGGGGTACTGTTGTACTCGGGAGACTTCGCTGAACACAAATATTTGTGTTTCAAAACAGTAAAAATTATCACAGCAATAATATCGTCCGTGTAAGTGCTGTTTGTGCATGAAAAATGCAAAAAACGTCACTTTTACTGGCGATATCATCGTTGTAATACATTTTACTGTTTTGAAACACTAATATTTGTGTTCAGCGAAGTCTCCCGAGTAGAACAGTACCCCCCATGTACAGGTTTTATGGTGTCTTGGAAAGTTATAGGGTTAAATATAGTGCTAGCAAATTAAATTCCCTTTACTTTCGGCATGGGTTGTTAGGTCCCGCTAATTGTAATTAATTAAGATATCTAATTATGTAAAAATATTACATAAATATATATGTAGAATTAATATATGTATATATATATATATGTATGTGAATCTATATGTGTGTATATATATATATATATATATATATAATTTTTTTTAAATATTTTTATTTATATATAGGTATATATATAGTGATATATACAAATATATATTTATGTATGTAGATATATATATTTCGTTCTACGTGTATTTTGATATAAATATATATATATTAATATCACAATACAGTTAGAACGAAATAACACACATCTATATATTTTTTAATTATTTATTTTTAAATTTTTTTTTACGTATTTACATATTTAATTTTTTAATATTATATATATAACAATAATTATATATATATTTAATCAGTATCAGTCTACGTGTAATTTGATATTAATATATAAATATAATTATATATAAATAGTAAAATACACCTAGACAGTGTATGTGTGTATGTATATGTGTGTATATATATATATATGATCTAAGTATATATATATTTTTTTTTTTTTTACACTTTACTTTTTAATTAATTTATTTTCATTTCATTTCCAGCCCGCAGGGGGACCACCTGTCATTACAGGCAGCCCCCCTGCTGGCAATGCAGAAAGCGGCTACCCCCGGCCATGTGATTGTGGGGTCCTCAAGGACCTCACTCTCACATGGCCGGGGGGCACCGGAGGAAGAGGATCTACCGCGGGGGGGGGCTCCCTGGGAGTACCCCCCACCGCGTGGGATCGCCGGCGACCGGGTAAGTAATGAAAGACCGGAGGGCGTACATTTACGCCCGGCGGCGTTTAGAGCCGCCTAAAATAGGGTGTAATTGTACGCCCTCTGGTCTTAAGGGGTTAAACTGACATGCAGAAATTGAAAAATATCAAAATGTCTTAAGTTTTTTAACTTTTTTTAGATTTTATTCATATAAAATGGAGTTCTATTTATGAATGTTTGATATGGAATGAAAGCCCTGTTTCCCCTGAACAAACCGATATATAATAAGTGTTGGGTGCACTTAGTAAGAAAGAGGTATATTATAGTTGAACAGACAGAGAGTCAAACGCCAGGTTTTGTTTACATTTTGTTTTGATCACAACTTGTACATTTGGCTCCGTCCTTAAGGGTTTAATGTGGGAAACTCCGTAAAACAAAGGGACTGGAAGGAAAATAGATCCACATATGGTATGAAAGTGATAAAAATCAAATGTTTTAATTTAAAAAAAAAAATGTAAACATCAAAGTGTATATAGTGCCGGCACCACTATATCATATCACTCCGCACGTTCCTCCTTTAACCCTTCTCCCCATCCGCTCTGTAAGATCGACCAGTGACGTCATAGCCCGCGAGCGCCACAGTCGCCATGGTAACTCCTGGGCACAACAAATCCCTCGCTTCCTATTCACTGGCCCTGCCTTCCGACGCTACCGGAAGTGCGTCCCAGTTGTGATCGAACATTGCGGAAGATACCCTGCGCTGTCGGTAAAAGGCGTACCGGCTCTCCGGGATATCGGTGAGGGATTTATACTTCCATTAAGGGGTCTGTGTGTAGAAATAAGATTCACTTCCGGGTGTCATAGTTAGTGCTGGCTGAGGATCCGACCTGTTTGTCGGGCGGGGTGGATTAATCGAGGCCGAGGCTCCGCTCCGTGTGCTGGGCCCGGCCTGGTCTTATTATTCCCGGCTGCTCCCCCGGGTGTACGGACGGCCTCGGACTGACACTGGCTGTCACTGCATTTCCGCGAGACTCTCACACTGTCCGCGATTCGCAGTGCCCAGCGCTATTCACTAAAGTGCGAATTGATGTGAAGGCGAGGGGGATTCCTGGCCCCCAGACTCCGGGTTTTAGCCAATTCGAATCACATATAATCACAGCTCATCTGAAATAATCACAGCCCGGGTATTGTCTCGGCTTGGTTATGTGTGCTTTTGTTTTGTTTTTTACAAAATTGGCTAAACTATGGAAATTTTGTGATGAAATCCGAAAGTGAATTTCAAATGTCGGCTCTTAATAGCAGAATTTAAAAGTGTTTTTTTGTTTTTTTTTTTGTTGTGTTTTTTTTTTTACTTTCGTGCTAAATGCTGAATTCACAGTGATTGTAAAAATGTACAGGGTTAAATGGATGTCGGGCAAAAGTTATATCCTCAGGAAGTACTTGGCAGCCAGAGGATATCTGAATGTATCTTTCCTGGGTTAAACACATTATTATTATTATTATTCACAGAAGTGAGAATTTAAGGTTAATTTTTAACATTTACGGTCAAGATTGTCTAATTTTGGAAAATTCCCTGAGCTAGCTAACCTTTTAATTTTGGTTAAACTAGCCTTAAAGGACCGCTATAGTGCCAGGAAAACATACTCGTTTTCCTGGCACTATAGTGCCCTGAGGGTGCCCCCACCTGCCCGCTTCTGGAAAGGGGTTAAAACTTAGCTTTTTCCAGCGCTGGGCGGAGAGCTCTCCTTCTCTCCTCCTCCGTTCCTCCCCGCCGGCTGAATGCGCACGCGCGGCAAGAGCTTCGCGCGCATTCAGCCGGTCGCATAGGAAAGCATTTACAATGCTTTCCTATGGACGCTGGCGTGCTCTCACTGTGAAAATCACAGTGAGAAGCACGCAAGCGCCTCTAGTGGCTGTCAATGAGACAGCCACTAGAGGATTAGGGGGAAGGCTTAACCCATTAATAAACATAGCAGTTTCTCTGAAACTGCTATGTTTATTAAAAAATGGGTTAACCATAGCTGGACCTGGCACCCAGACCACTTCATTAAGCTGAAGTGGTCTGGGTGCCTAGAGTGGTCCTTTAATTTTAAAATCCACTTGAATTCTCACTTTAGTAACTATAGAATCAACTCGAATTTTTTTTTTTTTTAACAGTCTAAGCTTTAGTGATTAGCCATGTGAGTATGAAGGCTATCCCTTGTATTTAAATACAGGAATAAACCGTTTACAATATTATTTACCATTTGTCATCATGTAGGCAAGAAGCCATCTATGCAAAATATGGATTTCTTCTTTTTGAAAGCTAATAAAAAGTCAAACCATGTCTATATAGTTTGCTGCTCCCTGCTTCTTCCTTTCTAGTACTGAGAGCAGAAAATACAGCTAGGAGCTAAATCCTGTAGTGCATGGCCAGTTCATTGGCTGGAATTGTCACCTGATCACTTTCAGCCAATGAGCTAAGCCATGCACTGCCAGGAGTAGCTCAGAGCTGAGCTTCTTGCTGCTGAGATGCAGGGAGTTGCACTTGGGAGACCCAGATAAGTAGTACTAGCACCATAAAGGTGCTCAGGCTGCCATTTTAAAGTCCAGCTGCTAATTCATTGATAATGACAAGACTACCTTTCGCTTCTTTAAAAGTTCCTCAATACCCCACCACAATAAATATTGGTGAATAATCTTGTAATAGCTGACAATTCTCACTTTACTAAATAACCCTGTTAAAGTTGCTCTCTGAGCACCATAATCATTTGAGGTTATGTCGCCCGGGTACAGCTGGGGACTTTTATGTAGTGTTAACCTATCGGAAAACATTTTAACACTAAACAGTCGAATGGCACCAGTGAGGATGCTTATGGCAGCCACATATAGGGTGAAGTTTAAAGGGACACTATATGCACTCAGACCACTTTGTCTCAATGAAATGGTTTTGTTGCCATGTTCTCCCTGATTTTACCCTGCAGCTGAATACATTGGAGGGTTTGAATGACTCTAGTATCTGTCACTCAGACAGCAACTAGAGGCACTGTCAATGAAATAGAATAAAACTAAGCTGTTTTAATGAGGTGGTCTAAGAGAGACCATCTTAGTCTGACATTTTGCCGCACTAGCCTTCCAAATGTTTTAATTTCTGAAATAAATCTCTGAACTTGGCTAAGTAGATGGAACCAAGTGGAACTATAGTGTTAGCAATACACATATGTACTCCTACCCCACTATTACAGCTGACAGGACTTTTATTATTATATTTACCTGGATCTTAAGGATTAAATCTTGTAGTTTAATTTCATGTCACTTTTTAAATTATTTTTTGTTTATTTTTCCCATAGACCTGTTTTTAATACATTATAATGCATAAAATGGATCGATTGCAGTATGAATTGTCCCTTTAAATTGACACTTTAGGTGTTATAACCACTTATTTTATTGAAATGTTTATAGTGCTTGTAATCCCCTGGCTTCTTTCCACTTTTCATAAAACTTGGCTTTTTACACAACTGGCATAATTGTAAACAAGTGTCCCTGAAGAAGAAATAGCTGAGGCATTCATTAAAGGAGCCGTTTAGGCAACATAACTTAATTGAAGTTGTTAGGGTGCCAGGAAGTCCCAAGTGCTAGTTTACCCATTCATGGAAGGTTTAACTCCAAAGTTTGTGCCATCCCCTTTCATTCAGTTTTCTGATTTTAATAACAGATGGCTCAGGCAAGGGTGAGCCAATTTAACCCTTACAGGTAAGCTAGCACTAGTGTCCTCGGCCACTGTAACAACTTCCTTTCTTTGAAGTTGTTATGGTGCCAGGGGTGTTCTTTTAACTCTGTCTGATCAACACTATTATTATTTTGTTATGGAAACCAATCTATCAAATGAAAGAATACTATATGCATATTGTGTGACAAAATGTTAATACTAAAAGCTGAAACCCATAAAGTCTGTAAATCCAAACTATATTTCTTTCAGTCTAATATAAAATTCTAAACTGTCACCAGTCAATCCATCTAAAAGGGTTTTTCCATTCCGCTTTTCAACTTGCAACCCAGCCCCTCTCTGCTGCTCAGACTGAATAGCAATGAACAGCAGTGTTTGTCTCAGAGCATTAGTTGAGCAGACTCAGCCTATGACTGCCGACCATTTCTGGATGGTATGGATTAGTATGTTTAATACGGAGTCACACTCTGCATTAGCCATACCTCAGATGGGGGATGAAAAAATTGATGTATTTGACACTGAACCATGAGACAGCACCTGGTGACTCCAGGCACCATAACTACTGCAGCTAGATAAAGAGACACTTGAGGCACAGTTTCCTTTTCAAGTGCAACTTTTCCCATTGTAAAGGAGATGTACACTTCTAGAAACATTAGCTGATGAAATACCCATTGGCATTAGTTAAGTATGCTGAACATTTCTGTTTACATTTTGTCTTTCAGCTTTTTCAGACATCGTGGGACTCATTCAGTGTGAGTACAGGACTAGCTCTTGCCTTTGAGGTGGCCGTTGCATAAGTGAGTTGATTGCTATTTGGGAGACACAGTGGAAGCCACATCCTGCTTTTCTTGATTCCTATAGACTGACTAAGGAGTCAACAGGACGTTGCTTGTAATAGCTAATGTACATTTGCTCTGCGACATTCTTACACCTATCTAGACATGATTGAAAAGTCTGCCTCACACCACATTGAACATATTATTCACTTATCTGATGATACTACATGACAGTTACATAAACTTACAAGTGAATTTGTTGTCTTGTTAACATGACCACATTTACATTGTATATCCTACATACTGTAGGTGTGATGGTCATTTGTCCACATACTTTTGGCCATATAATGTACATTCTGTCTGTTGAAAAACGGGCACAATATTTCTGTTATAGAATTTTTCAGACATTATTATGGACGTCCCTTGTTTATTATTATTGCAATTATGCTTATTATGTTCACCTTATTACATTTTGATAAAATGGGGGGGACTATCTGATATGCATGTGTTCAACATAAGTTTATCTGAAATACAGTAGTAAACTGTAGCTAATCAAAATGATACAGTTGGTTTGTTTGGTTTATCTATATTCCTTCAAAATAACATTATGTTTGTTAACCTCCACATGTCGTTAAGAAAGAGGGAGGTGTTTTTTTGTTTTTTTTTCCTCCTAGGTGAAGAATTGGGAACTCGGTCTGGATTATTTTTTACTTTTTATTTTTTTATTTTTTTGCTCTTTCTGAAATTCTTAAATCAGTTTTACGCCTAAGAAGATTTTTATTTTTTTTTGCCGACTGCCTCTTCAACAGTGTCGACTAATACCATCCAAGTGATTCAGTTAATTTGTTTTGTGATTTTTATTTTTTTATTAATATATTAATTTTTGGAATAAAAAAAAAAAATATTTTATTTAAAAAAAAAGAGGTGTTTTTTTTCCCCTTAAATGGACTGCATCATTTTCTGTGAGATTGGTATATATGGCTAAATGCCCCAAAGCCCTCTACATCATTTTTCTTGAATACCCACTTATGAAAATTAATTCTCCGATTGCTGGTTCGTTTGACCTACAGGAGAGAGAATATTAAACTAATTGAGGACTGCATCCTTCATCAAGACTGTACAGGTGAGTATCTAAGAAATCAAGAGTTTAACATGTATGCTAGATGACACATGCTGGATGACAGTGGTTTCCAAACTTACGTGTGAAAACACTTGTTGATTTGTAGTTGAAGAACCACTTGTACATTAAAGGGACTCTCCAGTGCCAGGAAAACAATCCGTTTTTCCGGCACTGCAGGTTCCCTCCCACCTCCCATCTCCGGTTGCTGACGGGGTGAAAACCCCTTCAGTCACTTACCAGAGGCAGCGATGATGTCCCACGTTGCTACTTCTTCTTCTTCCGCTGCCGCTCCTCCCCTTGATCACGTCAGCCGACGGGGGGAGACTGATCACACCCGCCGGCTGGGGAGACCTAATGCACGCGCATTAGACCTCTCCATATGAAAGAATTGAAAATGCTTTTCAATGCTTTCCTATGGGGAGTTTAGCGACGCTGGAGGTCCTCACACAGCGCGTGTGATCCCAGAAGTGCCCTCTAGTGGCTGTCATCTAGCAGACAGCCACTAGAGGAGGAGTTAGCCCTGCAAGGTAATTATTGCAGTTTAAAAAAACTGCATTAATTACAGTTGCAGGGTTAAGGGTAGTGGGAGTTGGCACCCAGACCACTCCAATGGGCAGAAGTGGTCTGGATGCCTGAAGTGTCCCATTAAGTGAAAGCTTGTTTATTGATTAATGGAACACTACAATTGCCATAACGATGAAGTTGCCTGGGCACTGACTTAACTCAAGGTGTTAAGCCGTCTACTAGCAGTTTAACCCAAAAATCATCCAGGTGGTGCCAATATGTCTCTATAATCCCTATGCCTCTTTTCTGCTCCTGGTTTTAATGCAAAAGCCCCAGACTGGGCTTTGGTAATTTGCTGAGAGTGTCAACAGACACTCTCAGCCTATCGCTGGTTCCCCATTTGTTAAAATGCATGTGAAAGGTACATCATGGGAAGTGATGCTCTTGGCCCATTCCAAGGCTTTTGCATTAAAGGAAGAGATACAGGGATCTAGAGGACTATGACTGTTTTTATCACTTTTAAAGTAAGAATGAACTCACCACATCTAAGCACAATTACATTTTCATTGAGAGGAAGTTATCACGGTGTCCTGAGTTTTCGTTTTACTGTTTATGTGTGGATTAAATGGACATTCTTGGCACCAAAATCATTTTATTGAAGTGGTTAAGGTGCCTGGAGTCCCTAGGAGCTGTCTCTTATTTCATAGTTAAACCGTTTCTGAACAGTTTGAGGGTGACTCGGGGATCCCTGATGCTCTTTCTGGCCAAAGGCAGTGTTTTCCTTCACCTTACAGGGTGTCTGCTAACTATTCTCACACTATCACTGCCTGCTATTGTTAGTATTAAGTGGTGTGTTGTTAGGCAGAGTATTACTTAGCCATTCCGTCAGAGCCAAGCTATGGGCTCCTGGATCCTGAATCACTGTTGAATTGTTTTGGAGACTGCGCACATCACTCACCATAACCACTTTAACACATTAAAGTGGTTATGGTATCCATATGTCACTTTAATGCATAATCTGTTTAAATACATATTTAACATTTTTATTTACAATTTGTTTTTTATTTTTTCTATTAGAAACTTGTGAGGTGCACACAGCTTATCACCTGTGAAAAGATCTCTGATAGAATATTGATATGCAGAACGCAGAACGTTTTAAATTTTAATCAACATGTCGAACCAAGGAGATGACTGCTATTTCTTCTTCTACTCCACCTGCACTAAGGTATTAGCCAAAGATTGTTTGATAGGAAGAACTGTGCTAAGTGAGTCTTTTGAATGGTGACATTCATGCATCACCGGGTTAAAACATTGGCATGTGGAAACAAAGAGCATTGCTTTACAAATGAAAATGTTAACATGAAATTAAATGCTTGGAAATCATCTAAGCCTTAAATCTTCTTTTTGCAGGGGGACAGTTGCCCATTTCGTCATTGCGAGGCTGCCATTGGGAATGAGATTGTTTGTAACTTGTGGCAAGAAGGGCGCTGTTTTCGTCAGGTCTGCAAATACCGTCACATGGCTATTGACGTAAGTTCTTCCACCTTCAATGTGTGACAAAAGTGTAAAGGGTTTTTGTAAGTTACAATTTGATCCTATAGTTTTTGGGGGGTTTTATGCATTGTATAGATGTGGAATCATGAGCATCTCTTCTGCACAGTAAGAATTAATCTTATACCATGTCCAGCATGGGATTTTTAGATGCATAGTTGGAACTGCTCAATAAACTGACCGCAGGTATGGAATGGTTACCATCTGTTTATACAGTTAGTATAGGCCAGTTTACTATTTAGTAGGCCTGGCTGCTTCAGTCTCAAAAAAGCCCCATACCTCACATGAGAAATCCTCAGCTCTTACTCCAGGGAGGAGAGAAAAAACCATTCCCTACTATGTATGTGCTTGTTTAATATGGACAAATTGAACACTAGCAACATTTTTATAAATTGCAGCTATAACCTCATAGTGGTGTCCCATTGCTGTGTCCATCTTCTGTTTTTTAGTGAGTGCAAGGAGAATTGTTTTAATCTAAGTGCATGATGAGGAAAGCTTGGCACTGATTTAATTCATATACCAAACTATAGTCTCTGGTTTCTTGTGGTTTCAGAAAAAACGGAGTGAAATAGCTTGCTACTGGGAGAATCAGGCTTCTGGTTGCCAAAAAGGCAACTGTGCCTTTCACCACTACAAGGGGCGCTTTGTAGATGGAGTCTTCTTACCTCCCAGCAAGAGTAAGTATATGTTTTTTCTCATATTGTGGTATCATACCTTTGGTTTCCTTTGTGTATACTTTACCAAAAATAACATTTCCTGAAACTCTGCTAGAACTAAAAAAAAATTGTGGTGTTTTGCATGCGGTTTTATTTCCCATTAGCTTTTTTCCTCCTTTATCCCCTCTTATCATCTGAAAAAGACTTTCACATGTGAGCATACCCAAATCTTTTACTTTTATTTGCAATTTATTTTGAGGGTAATGTTTGTTGTGTTTTATAGCCACCTTGCCGAAACCCGAACCTGCAGAGATGGAACCCCAAGTCTCCCAGCACCAGATGGCACCAAACAAGCTTCCTGTAGCCCCTACTCCACAGCTGCTTGGTGTAAAAAAAATGGAAGCAACTGAGAGCGTTCCCAGCCCTACTCACCCACCAGTGGTGATTAATGCTGCGGATGATGATGAAGATGATGATGGTGAATAGTCAGGTTTTCATTTGTGAAGTGTAGAACAAATAATACCTGAATACACCTCCAAGCTTCCGACTGTTCTCACAAAAGGGTTAATTAACAGTGGTTTGGGGTAATTGCTTAAATTGAGCATATTTTGTCTTGCATTGTATTCCATTCTGGTTCCAGTATTTTCCTCTAGAATGATGTAAAAAAAGTAAGGACTAATCAGTAATAGTTGTGGTTTTTTTTTATTTATTTTTTTATTGTAGTAGGCCTCTAAATGTGAGCACATTGTGTTTCAATGTTTGCCTCTTCTCACTTTCTGATTAAAAACAGATCAGTTTTCTGAGGAAGGGGAAGAGATAAAAAACTCAGGTCAGCAACACTTGTCACCAAGCAGCAACCAGGAAGTGCGTGTTACATCTGCAAAAAAAACACCTGCCAAAAAAGCAACAACACCTAAAAAAGGTATGAAGATGTTAATGTGCACTTGGCACACAATCTATGTATCTGTGTATATATCTTCTGGAACAGTTAATTGGTTTTAAACATGTAGGACCCATGGTGGTCCGTGTCAAATCTATGAGAGGGATGCACTCTGAATACAGTCACTCACTATAAATGTGCCTGTATCTGCAGTCACCTTCTCCCTTTGCCAAAACTGTGTCATGTTGTGTTTTTTTTTTTTTTTTTTTAGTCCGTACAATGAAAAGATCCCATGAAAGACCTTTTGCAGACATTTAAAGCATTTGTTCATTGTAGCATAATTACCTATATTCTAGGGTAAATAAGCCTTCATTTGACCAAACCTTTCATAGTTATATTTGTTGCTTAATAATTTTCTCCCGCCCTTATATGATTTCACATGTTTTATTACTTGGTGTTAGGAAACTGTACTTCATATTGCAGGGATGTTTTTAAGTGTTTTCATGAAATATACACATTCTCTGGCCTTTGACAGTATCAAATGCAGGGCTGTCACTATTGAAATGTAAGGCGGCCTGTACTTTAAATAATATACACTTTCTCTATTCCTCCTGTTTGTTTTTCCAGCCTACTTTGAAGGTGATAATTTGAACCTTGGCATTAAGACCATAGGCGAAATAAAGTCCAAGAAGCATAAACTACAAGAGTGTGTCCAGAATGGTAAGTACATTTTTACAATAGTGGTATTTATATATGTGTTTTACATGTAGCATGTTTACTTGGATCAACTATGCCCATAGCAGGACAGAAAGACCCTTAAAAACTTTTTTAAAAAAACATACAGTGGGACCTCCTATTACTGTTGACTGTGTTTACTGATATACTTCCAGTATGGAACTCCACCTTGTTTATTATTTCCAGAAGGACTCCCAAGTAGTTCCTAGGATACTCTTAGATAGTGTACCATATAGGTTAATTGAGGAACTAGACTGGGAGTATCTATGTGTGTGCTGCCAGTGTTCAACCATGTTCTATCTTGTGTCCATGTATACGTATTGACTGGATATATTCTCTTACTGGCAAAAAGTAATAGTCATAGTAAACTTTGTATCATTTAATCGCTGCCTGGAACTTGTTTTTACAATCATTTTAGTACAAAAAATTCCAGGTGGATAGTGTTAAAAACAAAAATACAAGATTATGATAGCGGTACTGATAGAGATTAGTTAGGGTAACAAATATCATCCTCCCTCACCCTTGTGTGTGCCAATATATAGTAAGATGTTAGTAGCAGCAAGAATGGATTAGCTCTAGATAACTCCAAAAAAAAAAAATATCAAAGCATCAGACCTAGGATAAGAGGACTCTGTCAAATAACAAATCGTAAAAATTCTATTGGACCTAAAAAAACAAAAAAAAAAACCAGAAACTAATAAGATACAAAACAACAATAATAAAATAACAAGTGTCCCATAACATTCTTTTTCACATTTTACATTAATTCACATTATTATTTGTCAACATATTTTTGCTGTCCTTTGTTAAGGTAGGTCTAAAGGCATATAGACTTTCTCAGACATATATAATTTTTTAGAGATTTTTGTTGTTCTTTTTTCCTGTTACTCTTTATAAAGCCTTAACACAGATGTGTATAGTTTGACTTACAAAGACTGTTGTGTATTTACATGGCCTGTTACCTTCTTTTAAAGAATCTAAAGTTGTTCCAAACCATGTGGGTCCCTTGCCTAAAGAGACAATTTCAGAAACGGTTTTACCCGTTGTAAGAACAGTCACATTCTCAAACACAGGTACTTCATGCATGCTTTTCAGTTGTTTTTGTTTTTTTTTCACCCTGACAATGTATTTCTTCAGTTGGTGGTGGTGTTAAGATGGGTATCCATTAACAGACCATCACCTGTGTGACTTTTGTGTGTTTAGAAAAAACTTTGACTTGTTTGCAACTTGTTACTACTTACACTGACATCCTCACAAGTGCTATTTTTGGCATCTACATGTTCTTCCTTCAACTCCTGCCAAATTTGCTTGCAGGCAGTTATGCCAAGGCCTTGTCCTCCACTGTCACGCATGCAAATAAATCAAAATAGGTCTTTATGACAGATCTTCTGAGACATACAATGTTGTGGAGTTTTCGTATGCATACACCGTAAATTTACTGTGCATCTACGGTACACCATGTGAGAAAATGCCTATAATGTTACCAGTCATTGATTGGTGGCTGATGTTATTGGGATGGCTTATAAGCCCTCCTGTATCTTTGGAAATGTCCAAAAGTTTCAACGTAGCTCCCACAATTAGCCCCCTATGTAACATACAAGTAGCCAATTTTTCTTTGTAGGCATAATTACATTAATATATAACTAATCAAAAAGAGAGCGCATATATAACAAATTAAAGACCTTCGTAGTAATTTACATATGGTCCAAATAAAACAATAGGAATGATCCCTAATTTACTCAAACAGTGATAGCTGCTAAAATAAAAAGAATTTTCCCAATTCCAAAGAACAAATGTAAATAAAAATTTCAGCGCTAAGTAGATAGTCCCCTTGAAAATAAAAAGGTGCATATGTATGAAAACAAATGAGAAAGTCTCTAGCAAAAAAGTATCCAAAGTATATAATTCATCTACAGAGTCCTGCAATAGGAAAAATCCAGATAACGTTGTAGTATACAGGAACTCAGAAACATGTAGAAATACCTTGGAAAAAGAGAAACAAAAAAAGATACATAGCGTAATTCTGTATCAAAAATTCATTACCCAGGATACAAAAAACAAAAAGGAAAACCCCCCCAACTATTAAAACTCTTACACTGTGTAAAATAAAATACTCATCATAGTGGATCAAGCAGACAAAAATCCTTCACATCCCCTCGTGTTTCTATTAGAGACAGCTCCTCAATCAGTGCACTCGGGAGGGCTGTCCATGATGTTATCGATGGGGAAACGCTGGCTGAAAGTCCAGCTTCTACCAAGCGTTAGTGAAGTGTGCTGCAAATGAATCTTGTAGATGAATGATGATAGCACCTTATCAACGCGTTTCGCCCTTCTAACGAGGGCTTTTTCAAGAAAGACCTATCTGATTGTTCCTCTCCTAAAATAGGACACAGTGCAAACTATCACTGGTGTTAATTCTATTTAGGGGTTTGAAAGTGCTATTTATTTTATTTACTACTTACACCTTTATGTGGAAATTAATGTTATTGTGGAAATTACTTCTCCTTTCTCTCCGCCTAGTTTCAGTGAGCACATGCTCTTGTTTAATTAATTTAAAGGATTGCACCTGGAATCACCTCCATCCTTGATGTTGGTGACTTACCACTCCCAAAAGTATTTAAATGTAATAGATGGCGAGAGAATTATGGCACTTGTAGTTTAGCAACATCTGAGGGACCAGTGTTTGAGATGCCTGCTTTAAAGGGACACTATAGGCATCAAAACAACTTTAACCATGACATGTCATGATTCCCTTTTTATTCCAGAAGTTTGGTCCTTAAGGGGTTAGAGAAGTTATTTTGGTGCATGAATCATGCCCCTACAGTTTCACTGGTGAATTCTCTGAAATTTTGGATTTAAATCACTTTTGTTTCTGTTTTGTGCAGCCCTACCACACCTCCTCCTGGCTGTGACTGACAGCCTGCATGAAAACAATGTTTCATTTTCAGCAAGGTGTTAAATTTACAGAGCAGGAGATAAACACTTCCAAAGCAATTTAACTTTAATCACACTCAGAAAGCTCCTGCGGGGTCTATCATGCTATTAATATAGCAGGAGTAAAAAAAAAACAAAAAAACAACAACAACACTGTGCTATATAGGTAGTTTAAACATTAGATCACTCTTTATAGGAAGTGTTTAGAAAAGCTGTGCAAGTTACATGCAGTGAGGTGTGACTAGGGCTTCATAAACAAAGTGCTTTAACTCATGATATATAAACCAAAACCACTGTATTAATGCCAAAGTTTTGGTGCCTACAGTGACCCTTTAAAGCACCATCACAGTTTGCATAATTGCAAAACGTGCCCTCTATTGCATAGCACACTTTGCAACACCACACAGCTCTGAAAGTCGTATAGAACTGCAGCAATATGTAAAAATTGCTGAAGGTCTAAGGCTGTACTGGTTTATGGCTGCACTATGTACAGAGATGGTAATTGCATGTGCTTAGTGGACACACACTCATGCTGCACAAGTGCCTGCACTGGCAGATGGAAGAAATGCTTCCCCTATGATCTCATTTAGTATATGTTTACATGCTACTTTGGTTATAAGCAACACAATGGACATAGGAGCTCCATAATATATGAAACTGCATGGACAGTTATGCTTACCTTTTCATGGAAAGCCGCATACAGTGGTGGATAAGCTTAAATATTCTTTTGACATTTCACATAACACAATATCATCTTTATCATCTTGTGTTCGTGTGCTTGGTATCGAATTAGTAAGATAGCTGACAAATGCCTAGTTTTTAAAGGTTCCTTAACTTATTTATGTTGTATATTTATTTGGACGGGTTACTCTTATTGATATTGTTTTCTTCCTCTTTTTTTTTTTTAAGCAGATCACTCCAAAATACAACTGAGTTTGGCTCAGAGGTTAGGAAAGCGCTCAGTATCTGGATGTGATAGTCCACTCGGTAATTTTAATTCATGCCTTTTATCCTGGGGTTATTGACTGTACAGAGGAAACATTTAGCACAAGTGTCCTATGTTTTTGCTGGATTAAAAGTTACTCCTTACATTTGCACCTCATGAGACAAATGTTTTCTGCTTTTGACAATTCTTTATTGTACTTCACTTTATTATTTGGGGTTATTTACCAGGTTCCAAATGTATAGATCAATGTAATTATTTGAAAACCATATCCAAGCTAAAGTTCCAATTTAGTAAAAGCACTTTATTAGCTCCACATTTACCAATTTGTGTTGAAAGGTGTTTTCTAGAATGTTACATGCTAAATTACCAGAATCTGATGCTACTGTAAAATTAGTTTGCTGCACAAACTGTTAAAAGAACACTAAAGTTTTAGGAATGCTAACCTGTATTTGTAGCGCTTTAGTTCTCCTGTCCCTAGGTAGTATGTCTTATGGCTTTGTGCTTTGAAATGAAAGCCTTACAACAGCATGACCTTTCCTCACTTTCGAGCTTTAGTGAGGGAGCTAGCAAACTGTCAACATTGTTTGTTTTGTGTTTATTTCTTTTTTTACTGCTCATTACCTATCTGGTCCAACTGAGTTAATTTTGGTAAACTTGGAGAGACTTAAAGAGACACACCAGGCACTGTAATGGCTTACACTAATGCTAACTGCTTCATTGAAGTGATTATTCTGTCTGTCCCCTAGCACCGACCTTTTATTCAGTGTTAAATCATTTTTAATTATTTAATACAAAACATGAGTCCCCAGCAGCCCATCCCTTCTGTGCTTTTTGGGCTATTAAGGAAACGTTAGCCTGAGCAGCAATGGGTGCCTGCGATTGGCTGCGAATGTCAGCTAATTGCTTTCAGCCTATCAGAACCTCCCTTTGCCAGTATAAATTGTTATGATTTAAAAAAGAAAACTTGATCAAATAAGGTTTAACACTGAATTGAACGATGGTATCAAAAGACTACAGGCAATATAACAATAACTTCTTCACTCAGGAAAAAAATGGTTATAGTACCTATTGTGTCCCTATAAATTTGTGGCAAATTAGAAGTAGTCCGACAGAGTACCTCTGCCAAATCTGCTTCCTCGTAGCTATAAGGGACTCTGGAGCACTTCAGAACCAGTCGCCGGGGCTTGACTGGGATCACTGAGGGCCTTTTCCACCCTGAACCAAACACCAGACGACACTTGGTGAAGGTTAAACAGCAACTCACTTAAATAGACATAGCACATAAAATTTTAAGCCCCCAACAACCGCATTTACATACAATAGGTTGATAAGAGCACGATAGTACAAGGAAGGTTGGGGTTAGGCAATAGCAATGGGTTGATGGGAGATTGAGGAGGGACAGGGCAGCTAGTTTAAACTGGTCTGGCAGTGTCCTTGGGATAACGCCCTGCTGGTGAAACAATAGGACATAAAAAAGGGGAAGGGGGAGAGGCTAAGACAAGTAATACTCAACATATCCTGCACCAATAATGGGCACAGGGTGAACAAAACACAAAAGGAATCTGGGGACCCTCACATAGTGTGTCTTCCATCCCCAGTGACCGTGACTACCGTCACAGAAGTTTTGCTTTCTCATTTTGGAATTTAATTTTAATTATATTCAAGATTTTACTCTCTGGTGGTCTTAGTTTAAATTCTTAATATATTGATTGTGCTTTGTGGTTGTCATTTGTAATGAAATGTATGTATTAAAGCATTCTTGCCATTCCTCTTATCCCTCTACAGCTGTCTCTGAAGGAGAGTGTATTCCCCCTGTGAAGAAAAGTCTCTCTGAAAGACTTGGGAAGAATGTGGTGCCACCTAAAGGCAGTCATGTGGCACGCCCAACAAAAGGTACTTAGCGTTAAGTTCCTATACCTCAGTGAAGCTTACCCATTAATGGAGGCTGACAGCTGTGCCATAAATTAGAAATTCAATCAAATAATGATTAGATGAGAGGATACTGGTGGAGTTAACATTAGATTTAAACCAATCAATCTGGTAAATTCCCCCTGGAAAACTACTTCCTCTTCGTACGTGACGTAAGCGTAATGATGCTAAACGTACAAAGGGACGTCTAAACATGAACGTCTTAATCCCCATTAGTGGCGAGCATGTCTAAGGACCCGACGCACATGCACACATCCGCATAGCAATGGCAACACATAAATGTGAACACATAAACGTACGCACACGCCCAGAACAATATCAGAGCTCGCGATATAATGTGCAACCATGGCCGCGGATCATCGCGCACTCCCAACAAAAGGTACTTGGCAAAAATATATTTGTGACCGTTGTACAAAAATGACACCTGTCTTATTAGGTTAAGTTATTTATTTGTATTCTTTTTTCTTTTTCTTTTTTTCTTTTTTTTTTTATTTATATTTGTTGTGCATGTGCAGTAACAAGCCCATTAATAACATTATAAGACAATAAGTAATGGCATTCAGAGTAACCGCACAATTTGTTTACGGAATAATAAAGTAATAAGCAGGCTCATCTTATGTGCCAAAGCAGTGTATACTATAGAGATAGTAGTCAAGTAAATTGGCTTAGACACAGGCTATAAATGAGATCACCCTAAAGGTCCTTCGGGCATATGTTTAAACTAGTGTAAAAAATGTAAAGAAGACAAGATAATATGCAGTGTAAAGGCATTGGAGGGGGAGTAAAAGCCATCCAACAAGAGTTACAGACCCAGTTCATCTTATGCCAATCTGGGGTATTGCGTTGGGCGGCTTCTGCAAGACAGTCATCAGGCTTAAGGGCTCATGCATAAGCTGGAGGTGCAGCAGAGTGGAGCTTGGATATGAGGCAAGTTGTGGACCCCAGGGCCTCTTCTTTGTGTTAGTCCCTCTGGTGATGGCAAAGCAAGACCACAGTGTGGCTGACCTGGAATAATGCTGTACCCATGTTGTGTCAGCCCGGGCTTCTCTGCCATTTTCAGGTGCACCTCAATCCCAGAGGTTCTCCTCTTGGAATTTTGTGGGATTTTCAGAGATGACTGGATGCCCATCTCTCGAGGTTTGCTGCAGTGTTGGCACTTTCTGGCGCTTCAACCTAGCAAAGAGTTGATTGATTAAAAGTTATTTTTAATATGGTGGGGATGATATAGGAGCTCTCTTTTCTCCAGCGCCATTATAAGTACATTTCACCAAAGCTTTCCCTTGGTAGCTTCAGAACTTTTCTCTCCCTAATGTGTTTTTGAAAAGTAAAACCATAAAATGCTTACATAATATTTTTCTTCTTTTTTTTTTCGTTAAAGTTCACCGCTTATTAAAGGATCGTCTTGGGGTACCTGCAGAGAAGAACAGTGTGGAAACAGGTATTGCAATATAGATTAACATTTTGACAGGCACACTTCGTTCACTTTCAGTGTACATAATCATAATTATAAAATGGCAGAATTTCATAGCCTGTTTTGAAATGCCATGTTAGGCAATGATTTTTGGACATTCTATAAACTAAAAGAAATGCGTGCGTCTTTTTGCATTGTTTTTCAAATAAGGATTTGTCTCCCTTGAAAGGCAGAGACAATCACAAGACCCCAGACCCCGCCAATTTCTAGAAGTGAATGGGTGATCCTTATATGCTGTGGCAGCAAAGACCGCTACAGGGCTCCTGCACAGTTTCCTGACTCGCATAGCTAAGATGAATTGATATGATTTCACCTCGGGAGTGCAAGTGGAGCCTTTAAGCTGCCTCTGCTGTTACAGCTTGAAGATAAAGCCGCCTCAGCCCTAAAAAAAGGAAGATGTTGCAGATCTTCAAAATCTTTTCATCTTCCAAACTGCTGTTTAAAATGAGCAGAAGAGGGGGAGATTCAGTTATGTGAACAGCTGGCTAGGTTTGTTAGAGCATATGGCTAATAAAATTTTTATCAGGCTTCTAACCTTTCTAGGTAAATGTGGTAAGGCATAATTTATAATGTGTGTAATTATAAACACACTAATTAAGCCTTGACACATTTACCTAGAAAGGTTAGAAGCCTGATAAAAATTTTATTATATTAATATATATATATATATATATATATATATATAAATAATGGTCTTTTAGGTTTTTGTTTAAGGAAATCCTCTTTTGTTGTTCTCCAAACCAGAAAAATTAAGGAGAATATAAGACAACTAGTACATCTAATGTTTTGGAAAGCTTTTCAATATTTTTCTTCTTCTCTCTTTCCCCAGTTCCCCGACTGTTAAAGGATCGACTGGGACTGCCAGCCCAGCAGAACAGGGATGAGACAGGTATTGCGAAATTGATGTATTTGTTAAAATTCAAATCACCGTAGCTGAAATGAAAGCAGATCTGGTTTAGAGAATTTCCAGTTTGATTATTTTGATGTTAAATTTGAAATTCACTGTGAATTCTCACATACTAAGTAATCCTTAATGTAAACCGTCTTGGAGCTGTAAAGAGCTATAGTGATTCAAACCTGGGGCACAGCACTCACAGTTTCCTAGCATAATATTAATAATTAGATTAGTGGCGACTGGCCTTGATGTGTCTCTTTTAACACTAACAATTATGATAAAGCCATTTGTGCCATACATTATAATGTTTATAAAGAGAATTAATAATGGCAGCTGGTAGACAAACTGGCTGTACTTCTGCAATATTTTCTTTATCACCCAGTTAAACATGTTGATTTAATGCTTTCTAAACCTTTTAGGTCTCTCATAACATGTTTGAGAGAAAGATCTGAAGGAACTAGAAAGTTTTGCATTTTATTCTTCTTTACTTTTACTGTGACAATTCTGTATGTGAAACAGGATGTGTTATTGGTCTTTTGTTAACCATTCATAGAGAACACCTGCAACCAAACTACGGATTTTCGCATCAAGACTCTCCAAGAAATCCGTCAAGAAAAAGCCACCCTGAAGCAGGAACTCAAAGAACACCTCCCCAAGATTGAGAATCCTTGCAATATAAAACAAGATGCAACAACCAAACAGCCTTCTGCCCTTGAGATTAAGACCATCTCTGAAATAAAATTACAAACGAGAAAGAGGCGGATGGACGGAACGCAGAAGGCTGAAACTAATGAAGAAATGAAAGTGATGTCACCACCCATCAAACAAATACGGGTCAAAACCCTGGAAGAGATCCGCAGGGAGAAAGCATTAAGACTTCAACAACAGACTGTGCATACACAGAAAGAGCAGGTGACATCCAGTCCTCCGCCTCCAATTACTCGCAAGAGAGTACTGAGAATCCCAAAACCTCCAGGTAAAGCATAGTACATAGTTAATATTACAATATGGTATACAAAATGTATTCTGCATAAAATGCTATTTGTTTTCTAGTGCTGTTTTTTGTTGCTAATAGAAATATATTATTTATTCATATAATACCAACATTTTAGTTTCGTCTGTATTCCAAACTTTGGTAGAAAGTTTTACTCTCGACGATGAAATACATAATTATACAACAGCATGGAAAGTTTACAGTGGCGCGGGGCAGCATAGAAGCCTTGCATGTTTTCTGTTACTGCAAGTACTTATTTAAAGGCTTATATGTGTAAGGAGGCAAAGCTGTTACAAGGTGTTTGTAAGTGTGAATAAGGTTAGATTGTATTAATGATAAAGTACAGAGATGGTGAAAGATGAGCTTAGCATAAGCATTTGTTTAATTTCAACCTTTTTGGTTTGCAGTAATCAAATCTGGAAATTATGAGGGAGTGAGTAATGAGGTTTTACACAATACTGAGTGAGAGATTGGTGGATTTGAAAAATATGATTGAATAGTGGTGCAGGAGGACTAACTTGCATATGATCTTGTGGCATCTTGCATGATCAGGAAATTATATTAAAGGTGCATCTGGTTTATGGGAAGTTAGGTCATGAGTTTGTTAAAGAGAGTTTAGATTTCAGATTGTGAGCGTATACCCAGAAGAAAATGGGAATTTGGATTCCATGGGTATATTGGATATTTGGCAAACTAAATGTAATAACTGTACATATCTGACACTTTGTAATTGTCCTGCCTTTTTTTGGTATCTCACTGATTTAACTATTTGTCTTGTATTTAAATATAGTTATTGTAGACACCATACCAACCACTGAAGGACCAACAGAACTTAAAAAATGTGACTTTCAGGCTGGCCCTGAAAGGAACACTGTTAAGGTAAGTGTGTATTTAAAAATGATGAAACTTTTATTATTTCTAATTGATACTTTTATTTAACATGTAGTGTTATTTTATTTTCTTCCCCTAGAGTTCTGTCACCATGTCTATGAAGCCACCTGCCGAGGAAGAGCATAAGCTGAAGCGTCCCACTCATCAACCTGACATTGAGACATTTCCTACGAACACCATGTCAATGACATCCAGTGTGGATAAACCCAAAGCTGAAAAGTTGTCAGAACCTGAAAAAATACACGGTATGTACCTTTAAAAATAAAAATAATTTAAAAAAATCTCTCTACAGATGTGTGGGTGTGGTTGTGTTTTTTTTTTTTTTGTTTGTTTTTTTTTTAGCTGCTTTTGAAACGTTCTAGGACTAGGTTGTGTGTACAATTGTGTGTGTGACCCATGTAATTAAATAAATGTATTTAATGTTACCCTAGGAAATGAATGGGTGTTGTGTACTTTGCTACTCCCTTCCTACTGAGCAATATAAAAACAGACATGTTAACCATACTTGCTGTCTCTTGTTACAGGAATACCAAGAATGAATGTGGAACCATCTGTTGTGAAGAACTATACACCAGCTAAGAGTGCAGTGAAAAGAAAATCAAAAGAGAGCCTGGTGGTAGCTGCTGTGAAGCCTCTGAGTCCGGTTTCTGCTAACTCTGAAGACGTGCCGAACCCAAACAAACCATCCTTGGTAAGAAGTGCTTTTTTTGTTAGTACATATCAATCACATAGAGCACAATAAGTGACAGAGACCAACTTTGGTTTACTCCGTCTGCCATGTGTTTCTTCTATCAATCTTTCTCACCCACAGATTTTAACAGAAGCCACTCTTCTGGAAGAGCCTACTGTAAACGGGCCGTCACCAAAACATCTCAGAGAAAGGTAAAAAGGACACACGGGAAATTCACAATTTTAAAATATATGATATCATTAAATAAGTATGTTGAGCATATGTGATACTGTTCATATTCGATGTCTATGTTCAAAAAAATATTTAACTGTCTTCAATGGTGCTTCAGAGATATAAATTGGCAAAAAGTAATGATTAGATTAAGGTTAAAGAAACACTCCAAGCACCATAACCATTATGGTGCTATTAAATCGTTAGATGCATTATGAATACAATCTGATTTTTATAGGAGCATGTGAAGCCTAAAAACAGGGGCTAACTTTATAGGGGGCACTCCACACACATAAAGCACTTTATCCAGTTTTTCTTCCTCTACCATTAGCTCCAAGCCTGCCTTTCCCCATTCTTAATGAGCTGTATTGAGAAGCATTGGAAGTATTAGAAAGCTGAATGCACTTGTGTAAGCAGAGGCTTCTCAAAAGCGTAGGGCTTACAAAGACTGCAGGCAAGGATTGCAACTTTTACAATCTGTTTTTAGATATACCCCCAACGAACACACACAGAAATTAATGCACCTCTTTGCCATATAAAAATATATGTGTGTGTGTGTATGTATGTATGTATGTGTGTATGTGTATATATATATATAAATATATATATATATGTGTGTGTGTGTGTGTATATATTATGCATTTTATTTTTTTCTAGCTCCGAGACTCAATGCTGCCACCCAATCCTGCTCCCAAAATGTCCTGGGGGCACTGCTTGCTGTTTTCTTATCCAGTCTAATGCTCCTCATAGAGAAGCATTTGGGGACAGGGTGCATTGCAAGTCCCACACGTCAGATGGAAACGCTTATCATAGGGAAGCATTGAATCTAACACTTCTCTATGTTCGACCTCAGGGATGTTAGTCTCATGACAGTGTGAAACTCTGTTGTAATAGTGCAAGCAATCCTTTTGACTACTAAACAGCAATGTTTTAGATTGAAGGGCTAAAAGGACTCAGATCAGTTCATTGAGTTAAAGTCATCTGGGTGCTTTTATTGGTCCTTTAACATCCCTGGCTCTTATGCTGCATAAAGCATTATATATTTTGTGTGTGTATAATGAAGTAGTGCTAAGTGATGCTTCCATAACTTTTAACTGCTTTTTCACTATTTTAGCTTGGATCCTCCAGTCCCAGAGGCAAGCTGCCCCAGCACTACATTGGACTCTCGAAGGGTCAGCACTGCTTCCACAGGCAAGCTTTCATTATCTGCAGAGGATGACCTTGACAGTCTGCTCTGGGAGATGTCGGATGAGAAACTAGGGGATGAAATTGATCTGTATTCCAGCAAAAATGAAGATGACCTGTTACTTGAGTTATCAGAAATGATTGACAACTAAGCACAAGTGGAGCAAGATCTAGCCATACACATCTGATTATCTTCAGGGATACCATAGACACATCAGTTGCTGACTTTAGTCTGTCCTCGGGGACACAGGGATATGTAAATATTTTCTACTCATCCAAACTCAAGATCTGGACCTACAATTGCCAGTTTTTTAATGTGGCATCTTACTCGTAAAAAAACAAAAAAACTATAAAAAAAAACAAAAAACAATTTAACTATATAAAAAAAAAAATTAAACTAGGAAAAATCCAGCTGTCTTTGTCTTGTTTCATTGGATCTCATCATTTTTGCCCCCGCAGCTGACATAATGATGCATATGATTTCACATATGGTTCTCTTACTCAGGCGTTTTGCAGAATTAAGGAACAAACTTATTTTAATAATTCTATATTGGTCACATGGTTAAAAAGAGACCTGTGCTTTGTGAGGAACTGGGATATCATTTCTTCTGAGAATTCGTCCACGTGTCCATTTTTGATCACTTTTACTGAGATTAAAAGCCAAAACCAATCCAAATCTTAGTGTCACTTACCCTGAATCTGAAACTGTTATGGCTGTTATGACATACATTTGTATACTACTGCCTCCCCTCTGTGGGACTACATTGCATTTGTACAGAACCCTATAAATGACTAGAAGTATGTTGCCGATGGCAGATTTATTTTTTATTTTTTTTTAAACCTGATTTTTACTGTTAACATAATGTCCCCTTATTACAAAATTTATATTTAATGGATAAAATATCCCTACATATATGTTGAGTGGTTATAGAATAAGGAATTTAACGAAAACTTATTTTGTTTTTACCTCTCAAGGATCTTATTTTGCATATAAATATACTGGTGCTGATGATGATATTAATGCAAATGTATAAATTTCCTTAAAATGTACAGTATGATTTGAAAAATTGACATTCTGAGATCTGTGCTTAAAAACAAAAAGTGTCTATAGCAGAGACATATTTGAGTTCTTACCCATCTAACTACATTTTAGTTGCCTTTTGTAGTTCCCGACCATAAATGCACTATTAGATTACTTTTGTTCAGGGGATGTTCTACCATGTAAGATATGCATTAACTGCCAACAGCTCTTGAAATACATAGGGTTGACCAATCCTTGATTTAATATTTTTGGGTCATTGAATGTCTGTATATATTTGTTTTTCAAATTACTTCACTGAGTGTATATATATATATTAACATTATTTTACTTTAGAACCATGGCATTTGAAAAATAACTTAATACAATTACTCTCTATAAGTTTGGGGGGACAACATGTCAGATTTCCATGTGATCAGTTAAGCCAAATAAAAATGGAACTATTGGTATTGGTGTGTCCTGTTTGTCAACACTGTGTTATGTAAATATTCTTGCAGCAATGAGCCGACCCACTTCACACGAGAAGCCAAGGCACTACCATAGTTGTATGGAATATAGCCGCCTCCTCTGTTTTCTTGATAAACATTTGAAGAATCTTATGCCATTCGCTCAGACATGACATGGTGGTGGTCATCTGAGGTTGTATTTACCTAATTTTAAGTCCTACTAAGGAACAGATGGGTGTTATGTCCTGATATGTAAAAGCATAGATTTCAAAGAGGGTGTACTTTGAGTCAAGAAAAGACATGGTAGTCTGGGGATTTTACCAACTTGCATTTTAATTCTAACCTTAAGGGTATGGTTGTGGTTTAAAATGTATATTTTTAATGCATTCAACCTGAACCACCACAATCAAATAAAGATCAATTTTATAAAATTATTTTCGCAATTCCCTAAAATACTGCCTGTTCTCCAGCCCTTTTTTGCCCTGCACTAACTTTCCTGTTTATGATGGGAAGTGTCCAGTTAAATGTTTTTCTTGTTTGTTTTTTTAAATAGAAGTTATAGAAATAAAATATATTATATTGGAATAGATCCTACAATATTCTTCAAGTACTGCTGGCTTGGAAACATTTTTGTTTCTTCCTGTGAAGATTTATCTAGTCTCACAGGTGGCTTGTAAGCACTAGCAGACAATGAAAGAGAAACTATAGGTACCCAAACGACTTCTCAATGCTTTCCTATGGACGCTCTGCGCAATGGATGCAAAATTTGCATCCAGCATCGCAGATGTGCCTCTAGTGGTTGTCCGGAAGACAGCCACTAGAGGCTGGATTAACCCCAAATGTAAACATAGCAGTTTCTCTGAAACTGTTTGCATCTGAAGGGTTAAAACCTGAGGGACCTGGCATCCAGACCACTTCATTGAGCTGAAGTGGTCTGGGTGACTATAGTGTCCCTTTAAGAACAGAGGCAATTGTCAAAGTTCTGAACCAAAACGAAACCTAGAAATTTGTGCTATTTGTTTGTTCCACTGTAATTTAAGGGTTTCTTTTCAAAATGACACTATAGTAACCCACAACAACTTAAGCTTAATAAAGCAGTTAAATCATTTTGTTTATGCAGCCATAATCACACCTCCTTGTATGTAACATGCACAGCCTTCCTAAAAACGTCCTGTAAAGTGAGATCTAATGCTCAAACTTAATTTATTGCACAGTCTTGTTTTATTTAGAATCTGCAGGAGCCTCCTGTGTGTAATTAAAGTTCAATTTACAGGACAGAGGATAAAACATCTAATGTAAGTTTATATCTGATTGAAAATGAAATATAGCTTACCAGTATTGTTCTGGTGACTACAGTGTCCCTTTAAATTACTTTCTTTGCAAAGTGCAACCCTTGTCACAACTCCCTCATGTGACCTACACATTCTTCCTACACTTTTCATGTAAAGAGAGATGTAAGGTTTACACTTCTTTTGTTACACCTCTGGCTGTCATTCAGACAGCTGACTTGTTTCTTCCTGGTTGCTTAACTCATAGGATCTAAACTCGTTCTACGAAGAAGTAAGTAGAAGTATAGATCAGGGTGTTGCCGTGGATGTGATCTTTTTGGATTTTGCCAAGGCATTTGATACAGTTCCACACAATAGATTAGTGTTCAAACTCAAGGAAATCGGTCTAGATGAAAATGCTTGTTCTTGGGTAGAACATTGGCTTAAAAACAGAGTACAAAAAGTTGTCATTAATGGTAAATTTTCAAGCTGGACAGAGGTGGCAAGTGGTGTCCCTCAGGGATCTGTTCTGGGACCCCTTCTATTTAACATGTTTATAAATGATCTTGAAGACCGCATTGAAAGTCATGTTTCAGTGTTTGCAGATGACACAAAACTTTGTAAAACAATACAATGTGAGCAAGATATTACTTTGCTGCAGAGGGATTTAGATAGACTGGGAGACTGGGCACTCAAATGGCAGATGAAATTTAATGTTGAAAAATGCAAAGTTATGCACTTCGGCGTAAAGAATACACAAGCAACGTATACCCTTAATGGAAGCGAATTAGGGATAACAACACATGAAAAGGACTTGGGAATTGTTATAGACAACAAACTATGCAACAATGTGCAATGTCAATCAGCAGTGGTCAAGGCCAGTAAGGTATTGTCATGCATGAAAAAGGGCATTCATTCTCGGGACAAGAATATAATTTTGCCTCTTTATAAATCACTGGTAAGACCCCATATTGAATATGCTGTGCAATTTTGGGCACCTGTTCTAAAGAAGGATATTATGGCACTAGAAAAAGTGCAGAGGCGGGCTACAAAATTAATAAAAGGAATGGAACATATCGGCTATGAAGAAAGGTTAACAAATTTAAACCTATTTAGTTTAGAAAAACGTCGCCTGAGAGGGGATATGATAACATTATACAAATATATTCGGGGCCAATACAAACCATTGTGTGGAAATCTATTCACAAACCGGACTTTACATAGGACACGAGGCCATGCGTTTAGACTGGAAGAAAGAAGATTTCGTCTAAGGCAAAGGAAAGGTTTTTTTACTGTAAGAACAATCAGGATGTGGAATTCTCTGCCTGGGGAAGTGGTTTTATCAGAGTCCATACAGATGTTCAAACGGCTACTAGATGCATACTTGCAAGAACAGAATATTCAAGGATATAATCTTTCAATGTAGGGTAATAACTGCTTGATCCAAGGATAAATCTGACTGCCATTCTGGGGTCAAGAAGGAATTTTTTTCCTAGCTTGTTGCAAAATTGTGCTTCAAACTGGGTTTTTTTGCCTTCTTTTGGATCAACAGCAAAAAACAAATGTGAGGTAGGCTGAACTTGATGGACGCAAGTCTCTTTTCAGCTATGTAACTATGTAACTATGTAACTAAGAGGCAGCGATTGCACAGAGCACCTGCATTGGGAAGCCTATAATTGGAAAGGTCATCTATGGAGTTGGTAATAGCCCTTCCCTCCCCAACCCCCAACTGCATGGAGTGTCAGTATTCAGAGGGTGCTCTTCCTTAGCAGAAGCACCTGCCTACCCACACAACAGTTGCCTACTCTGCCCAAAAATATCAGTGTATGGGGGACAAGGGAACTCTTTCTTTAATGTGCTCTCTCTGCACAGTTTCCTTGCACGCCGTGCAGTGTGATGTAATCCCAGCATCGACATCACTACAGGGCAATGAGAGCATTCTTTAACGGTTTGACTACTTACTCTGGAAGGATGCCAGGGCCCTCCTGACAATTAACTACTACAATGAGCTATACTAGTTGTGGTGAAAATGACCTCGCCACTAGTTTTTGGAGGGGCCTGTTTGCCAGCTTCCTACCCTGTGACTATGGCCGTGTGATAAAACTGTTTGTGCCTTTTCTGATTTTTATGGCCACAGCTCGAACTTTCGAAGTGGCACTTTTAAACTCCCGAATAGTCGAAGTGGTCGCCATTCGAACACGTGGTGGCGGCCATCTTGTTTGCATGGACCAAAACCGCGAATAGACTTCTGGGGGACTTAGCCGCGAATGCCCTGGAACTATTTTCGGGTCGGTCCTCCAGTGGCACTTAGCTACGAATCTATGGAACTATTTTGGGTATAGGACCATGGCTGCGCCTTGGCAAAACTATGACTTCCATAAAATTTCTGAACCCCTGATCTGATTTATGGGGATATGTTGTGTTTTGGGGTACTCTTGGGACTTTAAAAAAAAAAAAAGTGTGTTTTTTCTGCCTGGAGATAATTAAGTTAATGCATTATCTGCCTTAATTATCTCCCAGTCAGAGGGGAGGGATTGTGTATATTGTATGAGAGTGTCTCACTGTATAACTGTTTTTATTGGTTTGTTAACTTGTTTCCCTGTGCCCAACAAGGTCCACATGGATGTCCACATGGATGACCTAAAAGGCCAGTGTGGCTCCATTAAAATTGAGTTCCTGCTACCCTCAACATAGAGTCTCGTCTCGTGTGGGGGAAACTGCTTATCTACCCTGGGGATTGCTATAATCACTCTGCTCCCCTGGGATTATAATCTCTCTTTTAAGAACTGTTCCTGCTACGCTCTCTGGAGTAGGAGCAGTTCACCCACTGGAAGCTGGATCCTGGTCTTGGGACCAGGGTGGGTGCAGGACGGCGAGTTCCCCAGCCAAGCTGTAGCACTGGACATGGGGACTGCAGTGCTTATGGTGCCCTCGGTGAGCACCAGGAGCATCGAGTGATGGAGGCACCGGGTCCGGGTGCCAGTCTGTCTGTCACATCTGGTGGAGAGGAGCAGCATCCTGGAGACATCTGTAAGGGGTGTTGGGGTGCCAGGCGGTCCATCACAGTGGTTATGGTGCTTGAAAATTTCATTTAGAATTATTATCCTCATATAAAATTTAAAACACAACATAAAAGGTTCCTGGGTGCACATCCTAATGAAATGTGCTGTGTATGCCTATGCTGGTTACAAGCAAACAATTGCCTTTTTGACAAAGGGTAAAGAACTAAAAAAAAAACAATAATGGCACCGAAGCGAACGGTCGCAAGCACGGGGAGCTCTGAGCTTCACACAGGGATAAAACGCTTGAAATAACCCCCCTCAAATGACGGGCAAATACCCCAGAACAATTTGGGGAGAAAGGGGAAAAAAACAATACCAAACAAGCCAGGCGGTCACCACAGCGGTCCAGAAAGCATTATTGGCGGACCTGAATCACAATTCTAGGGACACAGTCCTAATCACCCACAGGAGACTCTGACTCATCATCAGGTTCCGGTAAAGATACAGCACAAACCTTCAGTTGCCACCGGCTGTGTCACACTATTGCCCAGACAGCTGCCATACTGACTTTTTCCATGGCTCGAACAGCCACAAAGGGCCCCAGAAACCCGAAGGCACAGACCATAGAACCCTAACACACATGATAAAACATACCGCGACCACTGTATGACATGCTAAAGACTTAACCCAGCCCACAGAGACTCCCTAAACGCGACATGAAACCTACCACCGAGACCCCCATCTACACACCACGAGTGATAGCCGAGCCTGACAAATACACGATGTGGCCCTGGTTCACGTGGCGACCCACCTGTATCCCACGTTTTGGTCTTCCCCCACTGCCGGGTAATCCTTCCTCCCCACTCCAGCTATGATAGCTAGGCAAGCTCAAACCAGGACTTGAGACTATTTTTAATTTTTTTTTACATTTCTTTTACTGTTGTCCCCAAGCAGGTTTTAAGCAAAGCAACTTAACACTGACAGACCTTAACCATTAGCGCAGACTGCACGCTGTTTTCTGGTGCTAT